GTAACAAGAATACTGACAAGTCCGTAAAACAATGGATGGCTTTATTTATCAAGTTTCGTAACTTACATGGATACTCTCAAGAAATCATCGAACTAGATAATAATACATTATCGGATCAATTAAAACAATTTTTAGTTGAAGTTCGTAAGTCGAATGGTCAGGAATATAAAGCCTCTTCACTTTATACTGGATTTTCTGCTATTGCACAAGGAATATCTGAAACTTTTAAAGAAGTACGAGTTGTAAACATATTTGACAAGCACCAGTTTAGAAGTTTACATCGCACATTGGATGGTCGTATGAAATCAATCGTTGAAAAAGGAAACAAGAATCGTAAACAATCAGATCCATTGGAAACTGAAGAGATTAAATTTTTACTTGACTCACCTGTTACAACAATTAATACTCCTAAAGGTCTTTTGCGAAGAGTATGGATTTGGCTATCATTATTGTGCTGTTTGAGAGGCGGTGATGCTAAGCGATTAAAAGCATCTTGGATTAAAGAATTAGACAATGGAGGAATGCAACTCGAGTTACCTAAAGAAAAAAATCATGCTGGTGGGGTTAAAGATCCGTACGCAGAAGCTGGCATTAGTTTTATTCCTCCTGATTCTTTAGGAAATGCATATACACCGGTCGCTGATATTAAAAGATATTTATTAAGACGTCCAAATAATGTTGAAGATGATTATTTTTTTGTCTCAATTAATGTTCCAAAAAAAGTTTACCGTGGTGAATGGTATTTGCCAACAAAACTAGGAAAGTGCTCTCATGATGCAATGATGCATTCAATATGTGAGGAGGCTAAATTGGATTTTAAGGGTCGTAATATTACTAATCATTCGATGAGATCAACAGGTATAAAACTTCTGCACTTATATGTAGTGCAACAATGTTTTTGTTTTTTTTATTGTACAACTTATTAATACGTACAATTTGATATTTCAGGTATTCATAGTCTGGTTGAATCTGGTGTGACACTTGATGAGCAGATGCTTTTCTCACGACATAAAACAATCGCAGGAGTATCAGCTTATCAACATCAATCTATGAAACGTAAAATAGATAATGTTTCTCGTTTAATTCCTACTGAAGAAACAGGTAAATTTTTATTTAATTACTTTGAATTATACTTTTATCTAACTATACATTAAGTATTATTCATTACTGTTAATTAGAATTCCATTCGGCGCTAAGAGATTCAACGTCCACTCATAATAATCAAATTGGTAATATTGAAAATTCAATTTTTTAATTTATTACAATTTTTAATATATAATATATATATGTTTTTTAGGATTTTCTAAAGCGTCTGATTTACTCTCAACCACGTTAAATAAGAAAACCAAAACATCTGAAGATAGAGAATTAGATGACCAAAAACCAAGTACCCCAAGAATCTCGATTGAGAACTGTAGTAATATAAGTATTAATATTACTATTAATACTGTATAATGAGCTTGTAACCTAATAATTCTATGCAAGATTAATATAAAAAAAAAAAAAGCGAATGTATACGAACAATTTACTTCAAATAGCTGATATAAATAAAAATATCCGATTAAGTAAAGTTCTTGGTTTCAAGAATGAGAATTTAAAAAAAATGCCCGATCCGATTGAAGCATATAGCCCAAAGTATAAGAATTTTTAAAACAAATACCCAATTAGTTAAAGCTCTTGATTTTAAAGAATGAGAATTTAAAAAAAATACTTGACCTGATTAAAGCTTCTAGCCCAAAGCAAAAGAATCAAAAAAAATACCTGACTAATTAAAGCTCTTAGTTTCAGAAAACGAGAATTTAAAAAACATACCCGATCCGATTAGGGCTCCTAGCTCAAAGCATGAAAATTTTAAAAATATCCGATATAGTTAAGAATTTCTTGTCCAAAAACGTGAGAATTGAAAAAAAAAATCTGATTAGTTAAAGCTCTTGATTGAAAGCGTGAGAATTTAAAAAAAAAATACCGACCTCATTAAAGCTGCTGGTCCAAAGTGTGAGAATTTAAAAAAAATACTCTATCAAACTAAAACTCCTAGTCTCAAACATAAGAATTAAAAAATAT